GAAAGGGATCAGGTATGGGGAAGGTAGAGTAGTGATGGGGATTACAATTTTATTTAAAATAAAAATTTAACCTAATCATCAACACTTTTATTATATGAAGGTTTATTCGTTTATAAGAAACTGAAGCAAAATCTGATAGCTTCTGGGTACTGTTACTTTTTAAATAGAAGGTCCATAAATGAGCCAGTCAACCTGGAGGCTAGTCATTGGCAATGTCGAGCAGAGTACCCAGTCACAGAAGCCAATCAAAATCAAAGGCATTTAAAGCATCATATCACCCATTCCATGGGTTTCTAAATTTCAGTCATTACATACTACTTCCAATGTATCTTTCATACATTTTTCCTTATGAATTGATCTACTTCTTTTACTAAGCTTCCAAATAGAAGAAGCCAACTAAGAGAATGGAGCCGATAAGTAAATGAAAGACAGAGACAAAAAGCTTCCTAGAGGCCTCAAATTTCATTATCCTGGCTGTTCCTGAATCCCACATACAGTATGGCTCTTCCAGCAGATAAATGAGATGCTTCTGTGTCCTCCCAATCAGTTTTCCGTTTGCCTTGCAAATGAACGTCCAGTCTCCTCCTTCTTTCTTCTCCTACTGTTATGGGTAGTCTTACAATTTTTTTTTGGTGATTGAGCAGCACTAATTTCATCATCTGTTTTGACATCGTCAATACATTTACATTGGAAATCTTGTGGTGACTTGGAAAACTTCCGTAGTGCCATCAACCGATCGGAGAGAATGAACCAGAGGCCTTAGGAGTCCTGAACTTGAGATGGCAATTCTGTATTCAATGTCACTGTCTCCCTCCTAAGTCACCCTTATCCTTCTCAACGGAAGCTCTTCTAGTCAATGACTGTATCTAGTTTTAAATAGAATCATCATGGATGGCAACAATGAAAAAAATGATACTCGAGGGATGTTTTGTGGCTGATGAAGGAAATAGCTAAGCTGAAGAATGTTCCAGTCTCCAAATGAGACTAGAAGACAAAGGTCTGCAAGCATGGTGCTCTTGGCCAGTGTGGCTGGAGGGGAGAGGGATGAAGTTAGGTGAGGAAGATTCTGGAGTCCAAAGTTGTGTAAGGCCATGAAGGCCAGTGTCAGGACTTCAGCTATTCTCCAAGCCATCAGGAGGTTTCGTGCAGAAGTGCAATGGGTCTTGATTTCCTTTGTAAAAAGATCGCTCTGGCCACTGTGAGAATAGACCGTTAATAGGAAAGAGTTAAAATGAGAAATTCAGTGTGGAGTCCAGTGCCATCCTCAGGGAAGATTAATGTGTGGTGGTCGTACAGATGGTGAGAAAGGGTAAGATCCTGGAATAGAGGTGAAGGTGAAACCTACAAGATCTCCTGACAGGTTAGATGTGGGTGGAAGGGAGAGAGGACTCATGGCAGACTGCAGGGTTTTCGGTCTGAGCAGCTGGAAGGACAGGCTTGCCCTCCAGTGAGAAGGGACAGTCTATGCATGGGCGGAGGAATGGGAGGTTGGCAGTTGAGTGATAAGCACGCTGAGTTAAGAATGGCTATCACACCTGCAAGTAGATGTGACGAATAACCCAGTTACTGAGGAATTGGGATTCAAGAAAGAGCTCTGTCATCAGCAGGTAGCTGGTATTCAAGGCCATGAAACTGGAAGTGATTGCCAAGGGAGTGAAAATGTACATCAAGGAAATCAAAAAAGAGGGGCAGTCACTGGGCTCTGGGGCAGCCCAGTCTCAAGGTACTGGGCAGGAGAGAAAAGCAGCCAAGGAGACTGAGACACGTGGTAAGTGACAAAGTTGGGAAAATAAGAGATGTTTTGTTTTGTTTTAAAAAATTTTGTTTACCATTTAGTCACAGAATGCTTTCTAAGTGCCTGATTTTGGTCTAAATACCTTTCATGTTAATTCATTTCATCCTCAAAATGAACCTTTGAGAAAAAGACCAGTGAGGCTCAAAAAGACACAGCAGACTGACTTGATAATAGACGTTGGTGACTGGCAGAAGCTGAAGTTGAGTCTAGGACTCCGATTCCAGAGACAAGCTTGGAACTATTGGCTTTACTGACTTCATTTAGAGAAGACATCACTTACCAGATTGTGGTTAGTTAACAGTGTCAGTTATAGTTATGCATACTAGCCTTGGTTCACTATCCCATGTTGGTTTCAGTTTCCTCTTATACTCAGAGAGACACCTGGGTTTTGAAGAGAAGCAGATTTCCTTGTCTTTATCTTTACTGTGATCTTTCCAAGACCCTTGTAATAAGTCATCCACTTTGCTATTCTCATTGTGAAATAGGAGGCAAAATTGTGAAGCGAGTGCATTTTGCCTTGAGCATTTTCATCTCTCGGGAGCATCCTAGGGCACCTTGCTCTTTAGAGGAAGTCAGGCAGGGGTGAGTGACTCACTGCCTTTCCCAGACCTGTGGCCCTGTTCGTACACCCACAGTGAGCCCTGCCAAGGCTCAGTCAATGCTCCAGACTCCTCCCCACGATCTCAGAACTTAAGGTGTCAAATATGAAAACAGAAGCACCTCAGTCTAGTGCAACTAGGAACTAGGCCTTTTGAAGTTGAACGTATCAGTCATCATTGTCTACACAAGTGCTTCTCAAACACCCACAATGCAAAACCAGCCCTCTATCCTCATTAACAACATGTTCATTTGAAAAATATAATAAAAATGACAATAGGAAGATATAATTCATAAGAAGACATACAAAATACAGGCTCAGATTTTTTAGTTACTGGATATAAAATTCAACAGATATAAAATTACATTTCTATGATCAGAACTAATGTAGCATAAGAAAAAGGAAAAGTTTTACAAAAAAGTATACTATTGTTCATTGCATGTATGTGTAGGTGATTGATATAGAGTATTATTATTATACACATATTTTGGCTTTTTGGAATTGTAACTCGACCAAAAGAAGTAAGTAACATTCCATATTTATTCAATGCCTACATATCCACTTTGAATGAATACCATGTATATCAGTATTTAACTTTGATTAACAAAGTTTTTAAAATAACAAATGAAAAAAAAAACAGAGGTAACAAACAGACTAGTTTAGATGTGTTGGCTATATTTGGTATTATAAACAGAGCAAGTTAATCCTTCGGTGATGGAGACATTTGGGTGTCAGTATTTGGAGCCTGTCAGCATACCCTATGGCTTGTCTCCTCCCCTGATTAGGTTATGGAAGCCTGGCAAGGGTCCTTTTGATGCCCATGGGGAAAAAAGTTGCTGTAGTTATGCCTACTGCTACCTTCCCTTCACTGTAGTCTGCCCCATGCTTCTGTTTGCACAGATTAGAGACTAATGGAATCATCTTGACCTTGACCTTTCTCTCCTTCCCTTTTTCCTGCCCACCCCTAGCCTTAAGAAATTATGAACACACACATGCATGCACACACATGAACACATACACACACAAATACACACATGCTTTCTTTAGAAAATATTTCTTTTCCCCCAGAAAACATCGATAATTAAGGAATTCAGGGAAAAAAGCCTGGAAGGTGATAATTAATGGGTTACAAACCTAGTAGAAATAATTAATTATAACCAATGCATAAAATGTTGCCTTCTGATTAAGAGCTATACATTCTTTTTTAAATGACAACTTTTATGTTGATGGACCTATCATTAAGCGTTAAAATGTCTTTCTACTTTATTTCAATATTTCTTATATGCGCTCTTCTATCCTGATACTGTTGAGCTGGCGCTATCTTCTTAGGTAGAATTCCATGTGACATGTGGTTCGTTATTTTATGCCAAGATTTACAATGAGAATTTTAACATTCCTTGAATCACACTGATAAATTAAAGAAAGTAGCCTCTTTATGAAGCACATTGATATGTTAACAGAATACCGTCTTGCTTGTGGGATATTGAATGAGTGAGCAAGTCTGGTTCCTTGGATATGTAAATTCATTTCTTTAAAAAATAAGATTGGTAATGTTATGTAAAATATATACTGTCACTCTTGTTTTAAAATTATATTCAAGATCGAGAGGAGGCAGAGTCCAGTAAACAGATGTCGGAGTTAAGGCTGTTCTGTGTTGATGGTCGGGCCCAGCTCCTAACAGCCTCCGTGAGCCTCACTTCACTTGGCTCTGAGATCTGGATAATGGTGCCCGCTCCCAGGCAGCAGAGAGGAAATAGGTACACAGTACCTCATACACGGTACTAACCTGATGATTTAACTTGATGATTTGCTGTGTTTAATTATAATATTAAGCAAAATGATAATAGAAGAAAAACTTAACATCTTTCAGTGT